AACCATGACACCTAGCAGTTCGAATGCATGCAGATGTGAGTAGATCAATAGGTACCATTTTGGCGGGAAGGTAACAGCGGTCCATGCGCTCAGTGTATAGTCATGCCAGCCACATGACCACGGAAATGTCTTCTGACAATGCTGGGTTCCTTGGTTGAGAAACGGAGAGGAACATCGCCCCCTAGAGTCAGACACAGCAGGGCAGGGAGTTGGCAGCTTGTATGCCAACAAAGCCTGAAGGTTGTGCAAGCTTTTTGTCTGTGTTTAGGATTTTTTTTCTATCTATCCTTCCTGTAGGGCCGAGGTGTCCTTGTAAATTGAGAATATTTCAAGTGAATGTGTTAATGCTGAGAAAAGCATCGCAACTGGCATTTGAAGGCTTCTCTGAACTTCTGAATGCATCTTCTGGGTTCCGATCTACCGAAGAAAAACTACTTAAAAATTTTGCTATAATGGCTCCCGCTCCCAAGCAATTATGTACAATGTAAATGTTTTTTCCCCTCCCTCATAAGTGGATTGCACGCCAGGAAGGCTTTTTTAATTTGCCAATGAATCAGTCGTAGTGTAGTGAAAATGAGATGAGCACCTGCATTTGAAAGCCGGTTTGTATTGAACAAAACACTCCCTTTGTTGTAAGCAACGTCTCCAAAGTGGTTTTTCTATTGGACTCCTAATGGGAACTGCCGTAAGTGGTTTTTCAGTAACGTAAATTCGAGCGGTCATGAAACAAAGCATTGTAAGTTGAGGACTACCTAGTAATCCCCAAGAAAGAGACCGCCGGTAATGAGAAGGTCACACGCTCACGAGCTCCAGACCAAGCAACCAAGCTTGGCTGCAAGTCTCTTGATTCTTTCATTAAAATCTCAGGTGCTTTTAAAACAGAACAGAGCCGGTTTCTTGTTCAAAGAGATAACAGTTGTGCTCTCTCCCACAGCTCTCTGATGTTCCTCCCATCCTCCTAGCTCTTTTTTTTTTTCTATTTGAGGCAGGGGGTAGGGATAATTTGTAAAGCCTTTATGGCCCAGGGCATGGCGTTTTTATTAGTGCTAGGATTGCAAGCCGGAAAATGGCCGTGTAGCAGTATGCATTCCATTAATTATTAAGGACAGTAAATCTTAAGAAGATTAAACCTGGCATCTCCTGCAAACAGAGCCCCCATTGTGGGAGGGGGCTCTGGTTACGCCCCCATCTCGGTGAAAGATTTTTAAATCGTTTTAAGATTCTGAAATCTGGATTTGGAACTGAAAGTCTTTTCATCCGTGCCAGCTACATGGTGGGCTGAAAGAGAAATAATTATTTACAAATCATGCAGCGGCTGGCATCAGAATCTAGTTCTAGAATTTGGCTGTGCCTCAAAAAAAAAAAAACCATCTTTGGTTTTTCTTGTGGGTGTTCAACTCACAATATATTTATATTTATTATTGGTGAAGACTTTCAGATGTTAGCGGTGCAGTTGGCCTGCTGGAAGAAGACCAAATTTCATCTACATCAGGTGCTTGTATAGATGAGAATTTGGAATCCTTTCAGTCTGTTTGCAGTCGTCCTTCAGAAACCAGAATGGGATACAAATAGTTCCTGACTTACAACCACCATTGAGCTCAAGTGAGACAATTGTTAAATGAGTTTTGCCCCATTTTATGATCTTTCTTGGCACTATGGCTAAGTGAATCACTGCAGTTCTTAAGTCAGTAACCCGGTTGTTGAGTGATGTGATAAGAGATAATATAAGATAAGATAAGGTAACCTTTATTGTCATTTTTTTTTTACTGTGGGCACAACGGCACACATCAAAAATGAAATTTAGTTGCCTGCTCTCAAAGTGAAACACATACATGACACACACCTAAACATACTGTATACAACATATATATAGATCCACACCCCTACATATACGTAACAAATAAATATTAAATACTGTCCATCTTGAATATATAACGGAAGGAGGGAGCTTGAGAGTTCACAAGGTTAATGCTGTATGGAATGAAACTATGGCTGAATCTGGATGTTCTGCTACGGATACCACGAAGCCTCCTCCCAGAAGGGAACAAGGAAAACAGGCCGGGAAGAGGATATGAAGCGTCCCAGATAATCCTGCAGACCCTGCTCAAGCAACGCTTCTGTGCTATGTCCTGGATGGGAGGGAGGGAACTGTCAATGATCTTTTCGGCCATTCTCATCACTCTCTGCACCGCCTTCCTGTCCGAAGCAAGGATGCTTCCAAACCAGACCGTGATGCCGTATGACAGGATGCTCTCGATCGTCCCCCTGTAGAAAGTGGTAAGGATAGGAGAAGGAAGATGTGCTTTTCTCACGCGACGCAAAAAATGCAGGCGCTGCTGTACCCGCTTCACCAGTGTCTCGCTGTTGAGTGACCAAGCCAGCCTACTCGTTAGCTGCACGCCCAGGAATTTGATGCTGGTAACCATCTCCACAGGTGAATCATTAATGCACAGAGAAGTGTGGCTGTGCCTGCCTTTTCTGAAATCGACAATGATCTCTTTGGTTTTTCTGGTATTTAAAACTAGGCTGTTTTCCTTACACCCGTTCACCAAACCCTCAACCTCCTTGAGGTAAGCTTCCACCTTGTCATCCTGAATAAGGCCCACTACTGTTGTATCATCTGCGAACTTCACAATATGGTTGGTGGCAAACCTAGCACAACAGTCATGGGTCAACAGAGTGAACAGCAGCGGACTTAGGACGCAGCCCTGAGGAGAACCTGTGCTCAAGAAAATGGCATTAGAAATATTTGTTCCAACTCGCACATATTGGGGCCTGTTGGTAAGAAAATCAAGAATCCAGTTGCACAAAGGGGTGTTTAAGCCTAAAAGGCCCAGTTTGTCTACTGGATGCTGGGAAATGATTGTGTTAAACATTGAACTGAAGTCGACAAACAACAAACGCACATGAGTAAGTGCTTCAAGCATCCTCCGTAGAACGATTTGGTCGGTAGGCAAAGTGAAGCGGGTCTAACGAATCTGGCTTCCCCATTGACTTTGCTTGTCAGAAGGTTGAAAAACTGAGTCATATGACACTGGGACACTGCGACGTCATAAATACAGGCCAGTTGCCAAGTGTCTGAATTCACAGGGATGATGCAACGGTTACATGTGTGAAAAAATGGTCATAAGTCACTTTTTTCAGGGCCATTGTACTTTTGAACGGTCACTAATCAAATGGTTGTAAGCTGAGGACTTACCTGTATATAAACTTCACGGTCTGAATTGCCATTTCTGTAAAAATTAGAGCAGGGGGTCCTCAAACGTGGCCACTTTAAGACTTGTGGACTTCAACTTCCAGAATTCCCCAGCCAGCCATGCTGGCTGGGGAATTCTGGGAGTTGAAGTCCACAATGCGGCCACGTTTAAGGACCCCTGAATTAGAAGGATGTGCCGATCTCTTAGGCTTACTGGGTGATGGAGGGTAGGAAAGAGGGAAACTACAATAAGCTAACCTAAGGCCAGAAATAACTCCAAAACCATGACCGCAAAGAAGTGTGAATGGAATGACTGAGGAAAAATATATGTCCCTGAAAAGGCACAGGAGAAAAATCCGATGGTTTTATTGTTCAGCTACTTCTTTAATGGCTAGCCTTGTTATGAATCTGAATCCAAAGGCTAATCAGTAAATTAATTTCAAGAGTCCTGGGAAATTCTGGGAGCTGAAGTCTCTTAAACTTGCCCAGCTTGACAACTGCTTTTCAAGGGTCTGCTAATAACGCCAACTGTTTTTTTATCCCTTCACAATATTTATGAAGCTTCAATTTTTAATTGGATGTTAAGAGCTTTGTTCTGGGAACGAGTGTATCCCTCATCCAGCTCCATAGCAAAAGGCTGTTCAGCTCTTTTCACACTGAAAGGCAATATCCACACAGATGTGGGGAGTTGGACAAGAAACAGCTGATCGCATGTTTTAAGTTTAGGAACTAGACACAGGGTGCATATCATTTTCAGAAGCTGTGTCTGATGCTAGACAGTAGCTGCTGGTTCTAATGCACTTATTGCTACGTCCCTCGACACATATTTAAAAAAAAAAACACATCCTCCTGATTCAGCTCTTGAAGAGAAAGTTGATAAAGAAAGTGTGTGTGTAATCAAGGGAACGAATCCTGTCTCCGGAAAATCAAGGAGACAATAAAATATTAAACACACATAGGAAATAATAGTTAACTGCAACTAGTTTAATTTTAATCAAATCAATTTCAGTATTATTACGGGTTGTCCTTGACTGGCAACCAAAACTGAGGCCAACATTTTTGTGGCTGAGCAAGGTAGCTGTTAAGTGAGTGGCGCTCCATTTTGCAACCTTTTTGTGTCACGGTTGTTAAGCGAATTGCTGTAGTTGTGAAGTGAATCGTGCAGTCATTAAGCCGTTTCCAACTTTCCCCATTGATTTTGTTTGTCAGAAGCCAAATGGGAAGGTTGAAAACGGCAATCGTATTAACCTGGGGCAGGGGTAGGCAACCTTGGCTCTTTTATGACTCGTGGACTTCAACTCCCAGAATTCCTGAGCTGGCATGGCTCAACATGGAAACCTCTCCCTTTCTCCTCAGCATGGCTGGCTCAGGAATTCTGGGAGTTGAAGTCCACGAGTCATAAAAGAGCCAAAGTTGCCTACCCCTGACCTGGGGCATTTGCAACCATTGTAAATATGTAAATGTGTGGGCAGGGCTGGTGGCGGAAACAACAGTTTGCAAAGAACTTCAGTGTCAAGAGATCATGATTTGTCTATTTTGCCTGTGAGTTATTTCCTATTTGACCCGTGCTCTGTTTTGCTTTTGGACAAGGTCTCCATCGGAAAAGTGTTCTGTTGCTTTTGTTTTCTGGGACAATTATCAGGTCTGTAACTCAAATAAAAAGGGTTTATTTTCCAGTCTACTGTTAAAAGAGGGATTGTCTTTGTGAAGTAACAAGGACTTACATAGGTTGGAACAGAACAGAGTCCTTCTTCAAAATAAATGTGCCTAATTCCTCTCCCTCTCTCTTTTCTTTTCCATATAGTGACGGATGTAGAGCTAAAACGGCTGAAAGATGCCTTCAAGCGGACCTGCGGACTCTCGTGTTACATGAGCCAACAGTGCTTCATTCGGGAAGTTCTCGGAGATGGAGTTCCTCCAAAAGTTGCAGAGGTAATTTCTCTTCCCACCTTCCCATCTCCTCCCCCCCCTGCTGCCCCCACAATCCACCCAGTACAGAAATCTATGTTTTAAAACAATACCAAGTGAAGAAAGATGTCACGAAGGATATATTGAGGTTTGTCCCCAAAGGGCCAAAGCAGGTTCCCGTCTTTTGATGTCGCTGGGCACCGTTCAGAGTTGCGTAGTTCAGGGATAAAGCAGATCCCCTTGCCTTCTTGTACGTAAAAATAATTCATCATCCACATTTGCCTGCCAACTGGCAACAGGGCTGAATTTGAAATATTCATTAGACCAGTGGTTCTCAACCTTTTTAATGCCGTGACCCCCAACCGGTCGTAAGTCGAGGACTACTCAACCGGTCGTAAGTCGAGGACTACTCAACTGGTGCAGCACCGTTTGCAGAATGGGACTTTTGGCGGGCTCAGCAGGGCAGAGACAGCCTGGACAATTCCTATAGGCTTTTGAAAGCCAAGAGAATTAGACTCTATTCAAGAGAGTCTATTCTATTGGCTTTCAAAAGCCAATAGAATAAAAGGGAGTAGCACAGCTAAGGAAAAGGGGAAAAAATGGCAGACTGCATTGTTTGGCAACCCCCGTGAAATGGTCGTTCGACCCCAAATGGGGCCCCGACCCACAGGTTGAGAACCACTGCATTAGACTGACTCAACTGCCCTGTGTGCAGGTTACAGGTGGGCTCAAATGTTCATCAAACCAGTGAGTTCAGATCTCTGGAGAAGATCTTTCTTCATTCGTGTCAGAACCACTTACAAATTGTAGACGTAGAACATTCAACACCGAGCAAATAAAATAGATATAAAACAGGTTATCGAAATATAAAAAGATAAAGGTTTCCCTGGTGGTCGTGTCCAACTCTAGTCCAGGGCTTTTCAACCTTTTCATCCATTGTACCACTTTTAGGATATGGCAATATCCGAGGACCACCTGTCACCTAGCAAGGTGTCAAAAACTTAATGACCAAAAAAAAGAGGAAAAAATTGATGAAGTATAGGTAGTCCTCGACTTACAACAGTTCGCTTAGTGACTGTTCGAAGTTACAATGGCCCTGAAAAAAGTGCCCCCCAAGCCACAGCCAAGCAAGACACCTGCCTGCCCACCCGGCGGCACTCTTCCTCCTGTCCGAGATTTTCATTGTTGTGAGCATTTCTGTTGAGGATTGGCAGGGGGGGTGGGGGTGTTTGGTTTCTCTTCCCCCCCCCCCCGTCTGCTGGGTGGTTGCAGCAGGTTTTGGTCACTTCACATGACCTTGGGACACTGTGACCATCATCAATATGAATCAGTTGCCAAACATCTGAATGTAAATCACAAGACCCTAGAGATGCTGCAACATTCTAGCTGATCGGCGCTTCTTCTGGGCTCAGCAGAAGTGCCAGGATCAGTGTTGCTTTCCAGCTAATTGGTGCTTTTTCAGGGCTCAGCGGAAGCACCAGGATCAGCACCAAGCTCTAGTTGGAGCCTGGCACTGATCCTGGCGCTTTCGCTGAGCCCTGACCGCCCTGCAGCTCCAGCCATCTCTCGCTCAGGCTTGTGCGGTGCTGCTACCGGTTCAGCTCATTCCCCTCCCCCGCTGCCACTTTTCTAGGATGGTTGCGTACCACCTGCCAGGTGCCAATGTACCACAGGTGGTACCCTTACCACTGCTTGAAAAGCCCTGTTCTCCAGCAGGATGGCTGTAGAGTCCAATGAATGAATGGGTTCTATGACGGCCTTCCTGCCTGGCAGACTGGGTAAAAACTTCGGCCACACCTCTTCCTCTGCGTGTGACCCCAGTTTTGACTCAGTCTCGAAGCCTGGTAGAAGTGCGAGAAGCAGCTCTCAGAACAATAGGAATTTATCCCAAAAGAAAAAGAAAGGAATCCTCTTCCTTCCATTTGAATGAAAAGCTCTCTGGCAGCTGATAGAACTTAAAAGGCACAGCCAGGATCGGCGGAGTTGTGAGTGGGGCGTCAGGGCGGCTAGCAGGGGAGGCTTGGAACGGGGCCGGATCGCTCGTCGATATCCGGCCCGCCGAGCAGCTGTTTGGCGCGGGGATCCCACCGGGTTGTTCGTCGCCCTCCGATCCGCCAAACAGCTGAGTGGCCGGCTCGGCTTGGCCGACAGAACCGAGGCGCCGCTCAGCGTGAAACAGCTGAGCGGCGCGGGAAGCGGCAAACCGCGGCGCCGCTCGGCATCGATCAGCTGAGCGGCGCGAAAAGCAGCCCTGACTAGAACAGAGCCTTAACGCTGTTTCCTTCCCTCAGAGGAGAGGCGCAGCCCCCTTAAAACCCAAGGAGTCTTCCTTACTGTTGAATTCAAGGATCCGCCATTGTTTAAACCGCGTGGCTTCCCGGGCTACCTTTGGGAGGCGTGGCTTCCTCCCATTCGCCATTTTGAACAAGCAGATCTCCCGCCGTATTTTCCCTTGGGGGTGGGGCTACTACCCGGACTCCATTTCCCTGCAGACAAAAAAGGGATACCTTTAGGCAAGGATCTGAGGTTCCTCAAGAAATTGAGGCAAGAGGAAGGAAGAGGGAAAAGGAAGAGAACCGTTCTGATCATGGTCTGCTGCTACAGCCACAGACTGGGGGAGAGAGAGATATAAACTGCTCTTGTCTGGACTAGGTGAGGAAGTGAGGAGGAATATTTTTCCCTGACTGTTCCTATAGTGACCTTTAGTCACTGCCTTGCAGGATCTTCTGTCCAAAGAATCCTGTCTGTCCGGCCATTGTTTGTATAGGCAGAAGAGGGCACAGCCCCAAGCATCTGCATCTGATCTGCGTACCTCATTCCCCCATTCCAGGCATTGCCTACTCGGGGTGTCTGGCACAATGGCAGACAATGTCTCGTATTCAGTCACACAGGTCCCTCAATTGTCCCCCCCACAGCAACAACAAAAACGCAGATCCTCTGAATCAGAGGTGGGGGGGGAAGAAGAAGGCTAAAACAAAGCACCTTACTCAGAAGGGACAGTCTAAAACGGCTGAGCGAGAGGCTTTGAGGAGACATTTGGCTTTAGAAAGACAAATTAGCAGGGCACAGAAAACCAATGCCAATGGGACAAATCCGGTTTCCCCTGTCCCAGTGGTGGCACCCAGCACAGAACCTACTGCCGAGGAAGTGCTCAAGACCTGGTCTCCTCCTGGGGAAACTGAACAGTTAGATTCCTCCACTCTCTCCTCACCAGATTCTTCACCTGACCACACCCCAGCGCCTCAACCCAGAGACAAAGCGCAGGAGAACATATGGTCGGCACAATTTCAGGCATTCAAGCAGGATGCATTCTCCCAGTTCATGGCTTCTAAGGGGCAAGTGGCTTTTCACACACCCCGTAAGGGGCGAGCTAGGCCACCCCCTACCAACATCTCTGAGACTTCCTCTCAACTTGGAGAGGGTGACTCAGTAGACCTTGACATGTCAGACATGCCCCTCTCGGAGGATGAGGAGACCGCACCTGAGCAGGCGACGAGCTCTGGCCTCTTTAACCCAGCGCTCTTAAAATCACTCCTGATAAAGGCAGTTTCCACGGTCAGTCTAACATCAGTACAGGATGAGAAGCCCTCCACAAGCAGGGAGGCCAATCCTCTATTTGCCAAAAAGGTTCCACAGGATAAGTACATTCCTTGTCCGGAGGTCTTTATGACCACGCTGGAGGAACAATGGTCATCACTTGCAAGCCCGCCGGCACCTAATAGCGCGGAAAGAAAGCTCTTCAACCTATCTCCCTCCTTCTCGAACATGCTAGAGGTTCCTACTGTAGATAACCCCTTGATCTCATTATTCTCTACCTCCGCGATTCCAGGAGACATGGCGGAGGTCTTGAAACCTGAGGAGAAGAAATTTGAACACTCCCTCCGGCGTTCCCACATGGCTGCAGCCTGGGCGGCCAGAGCAGCCACTTCATCATCATTCTTCGCGAGGGCCTGTATCATGTGGCTGAGGGAACTGCAAGGCACGGTGCCTCCAGACCAGGTCAGAGTACACCAAACATTGGCCAAGCTCCTCGCGGCCTCTCAATTCGTGTCTGACGCTTCACTGTACGCAACAAAATATGCGGCAAGATCCATTGCGGCCACAGTGGCCTCACGTAGGCTACTGTGGCTCAAAAATTGGAAGACAGACCTGAGGTCCAAATGGCGTCTATCGACGTCCAAGTACAGTGGAGAAGCCTTATTTGGGTCCATACTGGACCCACATGTCAGCGAAGGCAGAGACAAGAAAAAAATCCTAGTACACCCATCAAAGAAGTTAGACAGGAGAGGCAGTCAGGATTTCCGGAGACAGGGCTTCCGCCCAGGAAGCCCCTGGGAATGGAGACAGCCCTTTCGATCAGGGCAATCCTGGGACTGGCCCAGAGGCTCACGATCCTTCTATCCGAGACAGGATCGAACCCAGGATCGCCAAAGCCCGGGAGCCAGAGGCCAGTTCCAGTCCAGACGCCCATATAGGGGAGCGGGAGGCAGATCCTTTAAGCGTACCAAGTGACGCCAAACAGGACACTCCCATCGGGGGTCGGTTAGGAAACTTCATCGAGGTCTGGGAGCAGACCACCACCGATGCCTGGGTCTTGGAAACGATCAGGCATGGCCTGACCTTAGACTTTTGTTCTCCCCCACCAAACCGGTTCATCAGATGTCCCATCTCCAGAAAGGTACACAAGACGAGGCTGATAACTTCGGCCATAGCTCACCTCCTGTCAATTCAGGCCATAGAGAGGGTACCAAAGGAAGAGGAGGGAAGAGGATTTTATTCTATCCTCTTCGTTATTCCAAAGACATCAGGAGGGTGGAGAGCAATCTTGGACCTGAAGGGCCTGAATCATTTCATAAAGTACAGGAAGTTCAAGATGCACTCATTGAAATCCATCCTAGCCAGCGTCAGGGAAGACGATCTATTATCCTCAATAGATCTCACAGAGGCGTACGTACACATTCCCATCCATCCCAGCTACCGGAAATTCCTCAGATTTACCTACGCGGGCCGGCATTACCAATACA